AATAAACGATTTGAACAATTCGCAAACAAACCTGAAATTAGAAGAAAAGTGAAATAGTCCAAATAAATAATTATTAAAAAATATGATTAATAATCCATTATGTTTCGTGGTCCGATTGACCAAGTAACTTCTTTCAATTAATTAATCTTTATGTAAAGCATTGGTTGAAATGAAAAAGCTAGTGTCACGAGCGGGATTCGAACCCACGACCTTCGGCTAAATACGCCGCTACTCTACCACTTGAGTATCGTGGCTCGATCCACTCGGACACAAGTTTCCCATTTCAACCCCACCTTTTGAATTTTCCCTTCTTTTTGCCATTTTTCAAATGTCGTGTAATCAGGATTCGATTCTCGGCGACAAATGACATTTCCAATACCTTACATAAAGATTAATTGAAAGAAGTTATTTGGTCAATCGGACCGCGCAATATAATGGATTTAATAAATAAAACGAAGTATATCTTAACTAAAGCTCTCCGTGGCCATTTCATTTATCGCCGAGAATCGAATCCTGATTACACATTTGAAAAATTGCAAAAAGGAGGGAAAATTCGAAAGGTAGGTTGAGATGGGGAGTTGGTGTCCGAGTGGATCGAAGTCACGTAGCTCAAGTGATAGAGCAGCAGATAGAGTCGTGGGTTCAAATCCCGCTCGTGACACTAGCTTTTTCATTTCAACCAATACCTAAAAACATAAAAATTATTAATAACATGAGCTGCGATCCGCAGTTGTGGTGAATTAAACAAAACAATTCCAAATCAAATGTGATACAAATTAATAAATTATGATGCAAATATATAACCACGAATTGTTGAATGCAATGCAAGAAGCCATTGTTATAATCAATAATTCACTACTTTCGTGGTCAGCTTGACCAATTAATACATGACAATTAATTCAGATTTTTAGTTGAAATGAAAAAAAGTTATGGCACGATAGGGATTCGAACCCACGACCTTCGGCTAGATACGCCGCTGCTCTACCACCTGAGCTATCGTGACCTCGATCCACTCGGACATCAACTCCCCATCTCAACCCCACCTTATGAGTTTTCCCTCCTTTTCCCATTTTTCAATTTTCGCCTCTCGAGCCATTAACCTTTTTTTCATCTCAACTAAACACCTTAATTAATTGTCATGTTATAATTATGAACCTATTTGCAACCAATTTAGAATCCACCTTTACTTCCAGGTGTAAACGATGCAACACATACAGAACATGTGATGCATAACCTTGGTGTATATAGTATTTCCTACTCATCCACTCTTAAACCTTTCATTCCCTCTGACGTTAAGTACTACGTTTACGAATCCTCAATTAGAAAATCACAAAATTATCTCAACTATACATTGAAACCTACCTCAGAAGGCAATAGTTTTTGTAACACAATATTAAATGCGATCCTATGTTCCATTGACTATCCTCTTTTAATCCGAGGACAGGGCGTGTTGTATTGAGGCGGGATGTGGATCATACAGCTAGTATTTAAAAGGGTGAAGTGCACATTCGTCGTACTTATTATTTACGGAGGTGTTCCGTCGTCCTTATCATTCCTAAGTTCAGTCTTCCCAACCACATATCCTCCAGTCCCATAATCCTACTTTCTGTGACTTCATACATTCACATAATATTATTCCTTCTCACCAATTCGGCTTCCGTTTCCATCATTACATCATCCAGCATGGTTTCAGAGTTGTTGACACAATTTACTTCGCTTTAGAGGACAAAATCTTTTTCCCAGGCTTTTCTATTAAATGTGTTTCCTATCAACTCTTGTATTATTACACTAAACTGGTATCGAAGCCATTTCTATTGTCTACTTCCAAGATTTCCTCGAGCATACCAAACAATGGTACAATACAATTAAAACTAACCTGAACGAGAGAAATTGCTACACTACAACATACCGGTGTAAAATCTTTAATTTTACTATGAAATACTATTTTAAAAATACAGTTTTCTCCAATAAATTTTAGTTTTTCATTTAAAAATCCTGCTCATACAAAAAATTCCTAAATTGTTTATTGTTCTAATGATGAAGACAAAAGTATACTAAGAAAGTCGTGACCTTACATAAAAGAGTTGAAATCGTGCATGGAAAGTCGGTTTTGTCACCATTAATAACAAACACGGGACACTTCCTGTTGCTAATCCGGTTTGTAGAATTCACTTAAGGGAAAAGCAAAAAGAAAACAAATCAAATATAAAAGATTATGAAAGCAAAAAATATATACGGCTTAATTAAACTCGGTATTGTTCATACTTTGATAGAAATTTAAAGCACGAAATCAAGGAAATTTTTAAAAAAGTCTTTAGCAAAAGTCGACTTATGTCGTGTTAGGGTGGAACATGGTGTCATACAGGTCAAATATAATTGGAAACGGAAAAAAAGGTTCGTTTCGTTACAGAATGTAGTAGTAATTCCCTTCTTTCGTGGTCTGCTTGACCAATTAATATCTTTCAATTAAGGTTTTTAGATGAGATAAAAAAGTCAGTGTCACGAACGGGATTCGAACCCACGATCTTCGGCTAGATACGCCGCTGCCACTTTGCCAAATGAAATATACCTTCACTAAAGCTCTCCATGGCCATTTCATTTGTCGCCTAGAAGCAAATAGACTATACGACATTTGAAAAATGGCAGAAAGGGTCGCCGAGAAACAAATAGATTAAACGACATTTGAAAAATTGCAAAAGGAGGGAAAATTCAAAAGGTGGGGTTGAGATAGGAAGTTAGTGTCCGAGTGGATCGAAGTCACGATAGCTCAAGTGGTAGAGCAGGGGCGTATCTAGCCGAAGATCGTGGGTTCGAATCCCGCTCGTGACGCTGACTTTTTTATCTCATCTAAAAACCTTAATTAATTGTAGTAGTAATGTTTAAACTCGTTCTCTAGAATTTCAATTTTTCATTTCATTGCACTTGACACAATCGGTATCAAAATATTAAGTATGTGTTTATATTTATTGATCAATAATTGTAATTTCTTAGTATCGGTGAAACGAATACGATTAATACACATAGAATGTTTTCTGATGTGATACCCCCTCCCGTTGGCATTTAGTATAAAAATTATGACGTTAAAGGCTGATAATGAGTTATATCGGAGATAATTTTTATTGAAATATCTGATTATGTGATACATTATTTCGTACTGTTTCAGCTGGTCAGATGGCTCTTTTTTGGCTCTGACGGCGTTTCAATATTTATAAATGATATTATCATTTTTTTGACAGTGACTCGGTCGAAATTTATTACTACATCATCTATATCTAACTATTTCATATATTTCCCAGCGCTGATTATCCTTGGTTATCGTAACCATTCAATTCTTGCTGGATGTTTATGCGTTTCGACATTTAATATAATTGATTTTATTACGCAACCGTATTAACTACTTCAGGAAGTAACTGTATATTAACTAAATTATTTATAATTCAGTGAATTTTACTTTATTTCAGTCCCTAACGTTTAGCTGCATTTTGATGGCCAAAAAATAAATCTTTGCAAAAACAGATAGAGCGGTTCACGATCTTGCGATAAGTGCTTAAGCTAAACAAATAATCTGACAAATGATGAAGTGAAGTGACAATTGATGAAGTGCACAACACTTCTTTGAAAATGTCACTTTTAATAAAAAAAAAAGGATGCATATCAACAACCTGAATATCGAATTTTTGGGCAACTAGATCGTCATTGCTCAGGCAAGAAACGTTTTACAAAAACTTGAAAAATGGCAAAAAGGAAAGAAAATTCAAAAGGTGAGGTTGAGATGGGAAGTTGGTGTCCGAGAGGATCGAAGTCACGATGGCTCAAGTGGTAGAGTAGCGGCCTATCAAGCCGAAGGTCGTGGGTTCGAATCCCGCTCGTGACACTGACTTTTTTATCTCAACTAATAACCTTAATTAATTGAACGATATTAATTGGTCAAGCGGACCACGAAAAATAGTGAATCATTTATTAAATTGATAAAGAATAATTGTCTACTCATACATCAGAAGAATAGAGAAATGGAACGTACTAAAATATCGGTAATACTTTTAGGAGGTTTTTCTTGCCATGAGAAATTGTTTGAAAAGATTGTTTACATAAAGGCTTTTCAGGCATATAGGAAAATAGGAAAAAATGAAATGGCTACGGAGAGCTTTAGTAAAGGTACACTTCATTTTTACTTAAAAATGGTAAAAAGGAGGGAAAATTCAAAAGGTGGGGTTGAGATAGAAAGTTAGTGTCCGAGTGGATCGAGGTCACGATAGCTCAAGTGGTAGAGTAGCGGCGTATCAAGCCGAAGGTCGTGGGTTCGAATCCCGCTCGTGACACTGACTTTTTTATCTCAACTAAAAACCTTAATTAATTGAGTTTTACAAAAACATTGGGTTGTTACCTGACGCTTATGTGGTACATTCAGAATTTTACGTCAACTTGTTATTATGGTTAAACTGTTTTCCTAGATATGTGTACTACAACCTCCAAGCATAGACTCAGGTCATCGAGCACGGTCGTGGATTCTCCGACCAATTCTTTGCATATTCACAGGAACAGATTCATTGGCTTAAAACAAGTGTTTCAAGTGAATGTAGTTTACCTGTAAATGCTCTAAAAGAGTCGAGAACTATCTTTGACTCACAAAGAGCTAGAAGCCTACTTGTATTTTACTGTATTAAATGGGTTATCATAAATCCTCATGTTTTTCCAGGTATGTTTTCATTCACGAAATTAGTCTATGTTGGCCAATTTGTTAAGCATACTCTTGAGGACCTTTCAAATGACTCGCAAATAGGTACTGCCGGTAAAAGTTTCTAGGGTACCTAGAAGGCACGTTTGGAGGAAGATGATAGCAAATACAATTTTATTATAGATTTGAAACCTTTTCCCTTCGTGATGCTATCGGGACATTATTCATAGGGTTATGTTAGGTTGCTCATTTGATTCCTACGTTGCCTTGTTGATTAAATGTTGCTTTGTTCTGAGTTATCGATTTTAACTTTTTTTTTTTACAGGTGAAAAACCTTACAAGTGCCAGTGGGCGGAATGCGAGTGGAGGTTCGCCCGTTCTGACGAGCTTACGCGACATTACAGGAAGCACACGGGTGCGAAGCCGTTCAAATGCCAGATCTGCGAAAGGAGCTTCGCCCGCTCCGACCACCTCGCCCTCCACATGAAGAGGCATTTGCCGAAAGCGCCCCCTAAATGACCTCCTCATCTGTCTAAGCCCCTAAGCACTCTCTTCCGGATGTTTCCTTGATCTCCGAAATCACCAGTGACAACCCATGAATTCTTGCCAATGTGCCACTGAAGTTGAAATCAAATCCCTCCCGTTGAACGCCGGAGTTTTATTTGATTATGTTTAAGAAATGCATTTTGTAATGATAAGTTATCAACACAATTAGTGATTAAGAGGTTGTGAAAAACTAAAAATAATCAAAATATATAATATATTTTTTACCGAAAAATAAAAGAGATCATTATTTTTTGTAAATAGATAGAACAATATTTAATTTTGTTTCTCCTTAAAATGAGCATGTAACTTAAAATAATGATTTTAAGGCACTATTTTATAGAATGTTTAAAAAAATTGTAGATATTTTTCACTTATTTAAAAAACAAAAACAATAAAATATTAAATTTTGTGTATATTATGTTAACAGAATGTATATGTTTTTAGCTGTATAAGATTTTTTGAGCGCTCCTGTCATGTATTAAGTTCGATGAATCATTTTAGCTCACACAAGTTTATAATTCATGTTTAAGTTAAAAAAAAAAAAAAAATTAGGGCTATTTTTGTACCGTTCTTGTTAAATAATACGTTTAATTGTCGTAGTACGATTCAACACATAATCAACCAAATTTCGACAAAAAAAATTCTATTAAAAAGATGAAAAATGTATATAAAAAAAGACATATCGTTGTTAAAATATCAATGAACTTATTAATTTCAAATAAAGCCGTAACGGTACATTTTTAATTTTCTATGTTTCTACTGAGTTAAAGAGCTATGAGTTATTCTTGATTATATTTATATAAAAGACATTTTTTTATATTTTATAATTATTTTGAAATTTTCCGTCTGCTTATATTTTATTTGCAATATGATTCTCAGGTTGTTCATCGTCAATTGACATTAAAAAATAATATTTATTCATATCGGCAGGATTAATTAAACAACTTGAGTGGTTGATCATACTTCAAGCTGTATGGTGTTCCTCAAGGCTCCTTTTTACGTGCCTCCCTCCTTTGTTGTTATATAATCTCCCTAATATCCTTAAATATTGCACTTATCACCTCTACGTGGATGAATTCAAAATCTATCTTTCCTTTTCACCTCATGGCCTAATCTCAATCACACGAATCTTAAAGGATCTAAATGCCAATTGCTCGTGGACCTCTGAAACTCTCAATATTTCAAGGTATAGTATTTGGATTCTATCACTTCTCCAATCCTTACCTCATATTCGTCCACATTATATATTATGCAGGGTGGGTGACCAAGACCCGAGGGATTAAATGCCTGGGTAGACTCGTACCCCATCTCTAAAAGGACCGGGACTTGGTCGACTCACATGTCCTGTATAAATCTCTTGGACCTGTTCACAAACCGCAAGATTTTGGGCCATTTAATCTCGGCGAGTGATTTGTTGATGTCCTCTCCTTCAAAGATTTTAAATTTGGACCTAGCATACCTATCACACTGCGAGGTAGTGACTTGCTGTTTCTTCTTTTATTTCGCAAAAACGGCAAAAGGTATCTGGTAGAATACCCATTATGGCGAGGTGACTTCTCAGTGGCCCGTCAGATACCTATCAGCCTCCTAATTCCTTTCCTTGAGTTAGAGAACAGCCATTTCGATTCTGCTGGTTTGATCGCCTTAACAAACTCATTCGATTGTCTGTGTCCGGGGGAAAAATTCCACTCCCTAAAGAATAGTTTCCTGCCCCAGTTATTAATACTCTCTTTCGCTGTGCTCATAGAGTGAGGTAATACCGGTTGTGGCCCGACAAACGCAGCATTAGAACCTTCTTTGGCCAGGCCATCCGCCTTTTCATTGCCGTGGTGTCCTTTATGTGCTGGTATCCGAATAAGGGTTGCCTTGTTCTCAAACCACTCTGAATCAACCAACTAATTTCTTTTCATCCATCCGTCAAAAATCTAAGGATCGTCCTTGATTCCAACCCAATCCTGGAAACTCCACATCTCCCAACTCACCGCTGCTTATCCACCCTCCGCCAATTCCGTCATGCAAGCCCACTCTTTCCAATCAGCACCCGCAAACTCCTGGTTTCCTCCCCCGTTTTGGTTATGGCTGTTTAGTCTACGGAAGATTCTCCAGCTTGTTAATAGACTCAAGAGAATCATACTTTCTTCAGTTCATATTTGGCTCTCCAAAGAGATCTCATGTGTCTAATATGTATCGTGGTTTGAAATGGCTGTACCCCTCATATCGAAGGCCGTACTTCTTTGCACCTTCCTCTATCAAACACTTTCTTCTTATTCCCCTTCCTATATTTTTACAATCTGTTAACATTTAAGCCTTCTGTACACACTCGTTAACCGCCCTCTGAATTCTTCCCGCTCATACAATCCACAGCTTTTAGTCGCTCCTTTCGTACCTCTTGAATCCCTACCTTACTCTATTCGCAGTGCCCCCTTTCCACCTTTATGTCCCGTCTGTTTTACCATCCCTACAATTTAACTCTGAGGATGGTTAATTTTCTGTTCATTTTCCCACTTCTTATTTCATGTAGTACGTTTGAGTTATTTTTATGCTATTACATTTAAATATTTATTTAATTATTCATTTCGACATGAATTGTGCCTAATTTTGTGCGTTTTTGTTAATGAAGGGGGCCCACAGGCCGAGAATAGAATGTATTTTTTTGTTCTTCATAATATAGTAATTTTGTTAATAGTAAGCTTCACGGTCTGATTAATTACAAATAATTCAAAAATCACTGAGTCGATTAACAATATAATTTATTTTTGTTACGTTTTATATTTAATTGAATATAGCCATATTTGTTCGATGCTGTTGTTGACAATTATTTATATTAATGTACCTGTACGATGTTAATTGTTTAATAATTAATATAAACTCTTGTTATTTCTTACTTCAGCTTCCATCAAATAGAACGTGTTATTGAAAGAAATATCTGCTGAATATCCAGCATATGTTGACCGTTTTAAAAATCTAGTTATTTCAATTTTCAGTTCTAGTACTTTAGAACGTGGCTACCACGTATGTCATTTTTTTAACAAAGATTTAATTCCCAAGTCAAGCGTGATTCATATGTGGGGAAATAATTTTCGAGTCTTTCATAAAATCTAACTGCTCATAGCTGTAAGATAGTAGAACGATATTTTTGTTTATAAATTGTAATTTTGATAAACTGTAGTTTCAAATTGTTCTGACGCCGGTGCAAATTGAAAATATTTAATTGCAAAAATTGTTGTAAAATGCGCCAAAAATATAAACCCTACCTCAGGTCGTCTGCTTTAAAGGCAGTTGTATTTAAACAAATAAAATAAAATAAGAGATGTGTGATTTATACAACAGTATACACCAATTATATACATTTGGTATTTCAATTTTATATATTTTTATTAGACAGATGTGATCATTATCATATACAATGAATAAACAGTTATACTTAAATTATATTTACAAAAATATAAATATAATTATTTTGTTAACCAATAAAGTGAATAAAGGCAAATCAGGGTTAAATGAAATGTTCATAAATTTGGGGTGGCGCTCAAAATGTAAAAGCTAAATGTATAAAGCAGTATGTATAAATAATATATAAATATATTCACGTACGTGCCCTATGTGTTTATATCCTTTTCTAAGTACTAACTTAATTAGTTGATAGAAATATTCTTTTTTTCTTTGTAAATACGATGTTTTTGGGTTATGTTTGTTCGTTAAAGAGTGTAGACCAAAACACACTGTTTTACACTGTTTTATAACACTGTTGTATAAATACAAGTTACCAATATTTTGGAGAAAAACTTTCAATTTTATATCGACTTTACCTAATTCCATATAAACTTAAATAATTTTGTAAATAGTGTTAATTATCAAGGAAGAAAATAAGGTAGGTTTTTGTGGACATATTCTAAGCTAAAAGCTACAATTAAAAAAATGAACTATTTTTATAAAACAAACACACCAACAAACTAGTAATACTTTTCTAGTTATTAACTAATAGTTTAATTCTCATAGGTTAAATACAGTTACACGAATTTTACTTAATCTTTTTCTTACCATTGTTAACAAAATTTCGATCAGAATTCGAATAAAATTTCTTGATAACTGAATTAAAATTAATTATTCAGAAATCGTGAGATGCGGTCTGGTGTGATGTAGGTTTGAGAAAAACATTTTCTTTATCGTGCCAACGTTTCGATCTTTATTGACATCATCTTCAGGGCCTGGGATTTACAAACATTGTTTAAATTTAACAAATACATGTAGGATGTGGAAAAGAGTGAATTTATACAATGCAAAAAATATATTTATGTTCATATGCGCCTATATAAACATAAAAGAGAAATATCTATCTCACTGGCACTCTCAACACGACACGCAAGAATGGCACAATTACGCAGAAAACAAACACTTTGAGTGAGTAGAAATACTTAGATTGAAAATGAATTTTTTTTTTACATTGTTTAAATTCACCTTTTTCCACATCCTACATGTATTTGTTAAATTTAAACAATGTAAATCCCAGACCCTGAAGATGATCTCAATAAAGATCGAAACGTTGGCACGATAAAGAAAATGTTTTCTGAAACCTACTTCACCCCAGACCGCATCTCACTATTTCTGAATAATCATCGACTAACGGTCACCATTCACCACACATTACTAAATTAAAATGTTTGTCGGTTTCACTGGTCCGTCATTTTCACTTCATAAACCTGAACTATTGAAATTGGCAAACCACAACCGATTGAAGGCAGGGCATTAGTGTTTTTAAGGTGAGTGCTCTATTCCTTTTATGTAAGTATTGCTTTATTTCCGTCGATCAAATCAATGTAGTCTAATTACCTGTCTTGTAAGGAACAGTTGAGTATGAAGCTCAGATGAAGTTCATCGTGCTTTCTAGAGTCATGTCGGAACAATACACACTGTACAAAAATCACGCAGGCCCAACACTAAAAATAGCGACTTGTCGAAACGCGTCTAACGGAACAGCCAGCGAAGAAAGACCAAAATCGGTAACCGAATTTCGTGCTCATCGCCCCGCAGACGAAATGTACAAATCTCAAAATTTAGCATTTCTTATGCCTTTTGTGAGATTGGGTGAGTAAAGCCAGAAACACACTTACCCGATGCTACGCCATGCGTCGCTACCCGATGCTACCCAACGCAAATCCAAACTCCGATTTTCCATAAGGTTGCATTACCCCGTGCACATCTTCCCGATGCTATGCCACGCTAACCTACCAAACGCTCAGCGATCCCCACTGTTC